ACAAACATTTACAAATCATAAAATCCATTCTGAGCCCAAATTTCGATTCGCTCAATCAACCATAAAATTTGGGATGATTTCTTGGGCCATTTTCATTCTTGAGGACAAGTGAAAATGGACCAAAAGTGTCGGCGCAATTGCTAATTAGGCATGCCAAGTGCACACTGAGCCTCATAAATCTAGAGACCAGTCCGAGCAATTAGTCAAAGGAAACAGGGATGAGAAACAATTTACAGGAGAAACAAAAAGAAAAGCCTCTGACTTTGCAGGGAAATTATAAAAAAAGGCCAAGAGTAAACTGAATGGAAAAGCTTCCAAACCGCTTTCGTAGCTGCTTCATTAATGCACATGTGTGTGTGTAAGCAAGAGTGCGCACACTAGGGAAAAAGTACATAGGTAACTTGTAAAAAATACTTTTAATTTGGAAAACTAAATTTTAATATTCCGGTTTTATGTAACATATTTTTTCTTTTGAAAGCTGATCAATTAACTGGATTCTCTATCAAAATCTATTTTTTTCGGAATAGTACTTTAAACATTGTGTAAGTTTTCTTGTGGAACTAATTATAATTTCGACAGATTTGGATGTTTTCATATTTAAAACTTAAATTAAATGAAAATGTTTAAACATTTAAACATAAAAAATCTACAATAAAAGTTTATAGCAGAACAAATAAACTTACTTTTCATAAAAGACAAAATAGCAATTACAATAATTTCAAAACTTTATATGTTTTTTTTTTTTGATATTAGTTTATTTTAATCTAAGAAAGAACATTTGCTTTTTCCTGTGTAGTTGAGGTTGAGTGGATCGGAAGCCGGGGATATAACGACGACTCGACGACTGGCAGTTTGTCATTTAACATTTGGCAAACGTATTAAAACACCCCATCATTGCCTTAATTAAGAGCCATAAAAGCACATTTACTTATTGTTCGACTGTTCTGTTTCTCCATCCGACTGTCTCTTTCTCTTATTTTTCCTCTCTCTCCCACTGCAGCTTTTTGCAGGTCTCGCGGCACGTCTTTGTGCTTATTTATCCCGGGGATCTTTTCAGTATTACACCCATGCCACCCACTACTTTGCTGGGAAAGCTCACCCAACTCTACCACTTGGAAACACAATTTACCACCCAATTTTCCCCTACTACCCCCTTCTTTACCACCCACTTTACCATCCTCTCAGCGTCCATTTGTCGTGCTTAATTCATGGCTAAAGTTGGAATTAAGTGAATTTTACGTTCATTAACGTGCCAGGGTTGTGCTCTACGTGTGTGCGTGAGTGGGCGAGTGGGCGAGTGGGTGTGCGGATGTGTGGGTGGTTTTGGGAGCCATGTTTTATGGCCGGTGGGTAGAGTGGTTGGGGGTGGTGCTGAAATGGGCGCCATTCAAATGCTAAATGGTGGTGGACTGTTGCTGATGGCGGCTACAGAATAGGTGGATGATAGGTGGGAGGTTAAGCGGGCATTTTGCGCCTCAGACAGTGTTGATAATTAGACGAGCGTCTAATGCTGCACTAATAACGTAAATTTGTGGCACAGTTAACGAACTAGATGGGGGGTGGGTGGGCTAACACGAAGGTAAAATTGAACGACCCCAGGTGGCAAATCAATGTCTAGCTTAACTCCCCACAAATTAAGCGAACAATTGATTAACTATACTTTGCTTTACTTTCTTACCCGTAGTTAATACTTATTATTATTTAAATTTAATATGTTGTCAACTTTTAAATGAAATAATAACTTCTTTTATTTTTGTAAATTCTTAATGTTTAATCTTTAATTTAGTATTTAGTATTTTGTGAAAACCTTATGAGTTTTGACGGTAGTTTTCAATTAATGAAAAGGTTGCCTAAGTTTAAGAACAATAACTTACACTTATTTTGACAAATTAAAAAAAAAATTTGAAGTCATAAAGAAAGTGTCAAGTAAGTCACAAATTCTTTCATATTTTTAATGTTCTCTTATTAAGGTGAGCTAATTTTAAATTAATAAAAAAGAAAAATAATAAGTACTATAAATATATTTAAAAAATGTAACTTTTATAAGAAGACAATTAAAATGTTATTAAATCTTATAAATAATTTAATAACTTCTTTGCTAGACACACGATGCAACTAATTGGGCACAGACAACTTTCGACTGCCGAAACTACACATGTGAAAAGTTGGCGAATGTCCTCCAAAACTTTCAAGTCCAGTGCTATCACAACCGACTAACTAGCCCAAAATGTTGACCACTCTCACACACAAAAAGTGAAAATCTTTTGCCAAAAATAAAAAAGAGTGAAATGTGCCGCAATGCTGAGAATTGCCTGTTAATTAGTCTCACTTAGAAAATAAACTGCAGTAATTAAGAGCAGAGGCAGACAAATAAAAAACGGCAGTGGCAAATTCCCCTAAGACAGCCAACGCCCCGAAAAACTAGTGGCAGTTTTTCCCCCCTCCAACAGTTCCATCACATTTCATTCCCCCAACTGGAGTGAGCGAGTGAGCATTTTAATTTCAACGCTAGAATTCTAATTAACAAACAAATCCGGCAGAATACACAGCAGTCGAGAGTAAAAAATCCCCCAAGGAAATGCGAGTGGGGGTGGAGTTGGAATTGGAGTTGGAAAAGCTACAGCGATGACAGCAAAAAAGTATGCTACATAAAAAAGGGCGAGGGATGGCAGGAAAATGGGAGGGAAAACCCTGTGAGCCATGATCTCCCAATTTAATATTATAATTGCTACAATTATCATTCTCATGCCATTTACACAGCAATTGCACAAAAACAACCAACGAAGGAAGCCGGAAAAAGAGAAGTGAAAAATAAATGGGCGGGTGGAAAGCGGATCCGGATATGTACGCCAAATTGAAGCAATTACCGGTAGTCCCCCGCCGGAAAAACACTACATAAAGCCAAGCCTAGACTCCTCCCACAAATATGAAGCTCTCTTTCTCGCTTGCGCAGGCGCTAAAAGATAGGAGAAAGGAGAAGGGGGATTGTAGAAAGTAGAAAGAGAAAGAGAAAAAGAGAGATGGCTTCTTCCAAAAAAAAAAATATGTCTTAAGGGGAATGATGATGATGATGATGGCGTTGATTATAAAAAAAAGAATGAAAAAAAGAAAATATGGGAGAAAAAAAAAACATCTGAAGTGAGAACATTTTTAAAAAATATTTTTCACCACCCACCGAAAAGAAAGTTATTTCAAATGAAAGAGAAAACTATTTTTCTGCACCGAAAGACAAATCACATTAAATTCACGGTCCCTATACAAAAAAACAGCATTAATTGATTGTACATCCAAGAGCTGATTACAAAATGTTTTTGCAGCTGTTATTATTAAATTAATTTGTCATCAAACAAAAGTCCCCACTCGCAAATCTGCATAAAAGCTCGCTACCAAAATACTGACTTACAAAAACATGACACGAAAATAATCACAAATGTTGTTGATAAAATCCCAAGACATGAGCGGAAATTTGTTTGAATATGGTGAACGAGAATCGGCGGAATGGGGTTATAGATTAGAAGTTCGTTCGTCATGTAAATGAGTTTTATCGCTCGGAATCGAACTAATTGAATTTGATAAATTGATAAAATATGGGGGAATTGACAGTGAGTGAAAGGTGTTACTGTAATAGTTTACCTTGTAATAAATTGATATTTAAATGGTATAACTATAATTTTTGAAATGTTGAACGATTGTTTAAGGCACTACAAAAGATTATTAGTATTTTTAAATATTTTAATTATATGATGCAACTTTTAGTGAAAGCTTAATAAATAAATACATAAGTTATATGAAGAATATTAATAAATGAATAGTCATTAGTTTTGGGTTAAAGGTAAAAGAAATATATTTTAAACAAAAAGGTATGTAAATATTTTTTGAATAAAAACAGCTATTTTTGAGTACCTTTGTTAAGAACTACATACCTCTCGCACCTCGTTAATACCCCTTATAATTATGGGGCATTAAGTGTGACAGTTTTACCCCACTTGACTGGAATTCCGACAGCTGTCGACTCACACAGCGACCCCATCGTGAGTTCCACCCTGTTGGTAAGCCCACCCAAAAAGGGGGGATCATCAAAAGTACAAAGTACAGTTAAGCAATAATCAATTGCTAAGCAATTGTTGTCATTATTTGTTGTTGTTGGGCGACTGGAAGTTGTCATTTGATTTGTTGCTGCCACTGTTGTAGCTGTAGTCATTGGGTTTTCAACAGAAGTCAACACCAGAACAGATAAAAGACAACAGCAACATTGCAATGTGTAATTATCGTTGTCACTAATTAAAGTTGGATGACTAAAAAGGAAAACAGAACCACACAGTTCCGAATCTTATCACCGGTGGCCAGGGGATTTTCAAGACACAGAATCGGTGAAAAGACACAGCAGACTAGCTGGCGAAGTATTTCATAAATCCTAATCAGCCGATACAATTGTTTCGCTTTTTTCTATTTTAGTTGGCGATAAGTCTATGGAATTTATTAACCAACTGGAGTCTCGTTTTCATTAATGGGCCGTAAAGTTAATGGGTTTTATGAGGTGCACCTGGAAGCATTTGACCTCAAGTATTCGGTTGTGCTGTATAGCTACTGCTTTCTTTTAAATTTTAAATATCTTGCGCCTATTCGATAATTAATTGAATTTAGTAGTAGTAGTTTAGTAGTAGTAGTATTTAGTATGGATAATTGTTTTGATATTTTTTTGGAATAATGTTCTAGATTCTTTATTTTAAAAATTGAATAGAAGAATATTTTGAAATGTTTTTATGCCAACGTTGTCTTTGTGCTAAAATTCCTGGATTACATTTTACAAAAAGACCGTTTAAAATAACGTGTTTTTATGTGATATGATGTTAGATTTATAAACATAAATTCAAAAATGGCGCCCAAAGCGAGGAAGTTGGCAGTATTAATATCGAATAGTTTGGGTTACAAAAAAATACCATACTCTTTCGCAGTCGATAGCAGCTATCGAGTAACTGGCGCATCGATAGTCCAACACTCAATATATCGATAGCAGCTAAGGTTTTTGCATCGCAGTTATTATTATTATTATTTTACAACAAAATGCAAAGCCAGCGGTTTCTGTTTGTGGCCATTTTGGCCTGCTTTTTAGTGATAACTAAATCCACGCCCCTAAGGTGAGTTTAAGCGAAGGAAACAAAGGACATTTAAAGGTCTAATTGGAAATTTTCCTGGACTCCTGCCAACCAACCAAAACGTTATATCTTCTGTAATCCAAAAGAACTATATATTCAAGTTCAAGGCTGACCCCGTAATCCACTTTTTGTCTAACATCGAACAAAGAACACGGCAAAATCAGTGCAATTACTAATTGTCTCAAAATTCCCATTATAGCGACATATCGGATTCGGATGAATCAACGTCGGCGAACGAGAAGCCACAGAAAAATCCAGACGAAGACGGCAAATTTGATATTTCCCCCTTCAGGGATGACGATGAATACCTGCAGGATTCCTCGCGGGAGATGTCCGTCCAGGATCACAACTGGGATGTGCTGATATTCACGCAACAATGGCCGGTGACCACCTGCTACCACTGGCGCGAGGATAATCCCGACCAGGAGTGCACTTTGCCGCAAAAGAAGGAGTTCTGGACCATCCACGGCATCTGGCCGACGAAACTACATCAAATGGGTCCCAACTTCTGTAACAATTCGGCCAATTTCAGTCCGGACAAGCTGAATCCCATTGAGGATCGTTTGGAGACCTTTTGGCCGGATCTTAAGGGAGTCGATTCCACGGAATGGCTGTGGAAACATGAGTGGCAGAAGCATGGAACATGTGCCATGCTCTTGGAGGATCTGAACACCGAGCTCAAGTACTTCGAACAAGGACTCACCTGGCGGGAGGAGTACATCATGTCGCGCATTCTGGACGCCTCCGATATCCATCCCGATTCGAATAACACTGTGGCGGCCATCAACAATGCCATTGTGAAGGCGCTGGGCAAGAATCCCTCGATTCATTGCCTGTACGATGGCAAAAAGGGCATCAGTTATCTATCGGAGATTCGTTTGTGCTTCAGCAAATCCCTGGAGCTCATCGATTGCGATGGCGTCAAGCAGGGCGATGCTGTGCCCGTTGGCGTTCCCGGCGGCACCATCATCACCAATTGCCACATTGGCAGCTTGGTCCATTACCCCAGTTTGGTTCCGCCGCTGCAAAGGAAGAGCCATTGGAAGTTGCCCCTGGTCAATGTCTACAAATTGCTGCAGTTCCTCATGTGGTTCACCTTGTAAACAGGCCCCAAGTTCGAAAGTATTTTGAGGCACGCCTTAGGAGGACTCACGGTTAACTCCACTGTTCTGCTATTCTTCCGCTTATTTGAAGTACTGGAGGTCCGAAGCTAAACAATCAGAAGCGAAAAAAAAAACATACGTTTTTAAATAGCTGCAAATTTAGTAAATTGTAAACAAAAGGGGTCATATTTTACATTTTCATTGCTTAAAGGATAAGCAATTTATATATATTCACCTTTGTTGACCACATCAATCTGTTCGATGGCATTACTTAAACTGTACAAAATTGAACACTGCAATTGATTTTAAAAATATCACACTTATTAGTTATTAAACCCTATTTTATTGGCATTATTTTTGTTTATTCTTCTTTTATTCTGCAAAGGTTATAATCCTACCTTTAAAGCCTAACCATTGAAAGACAACATAATATATGTACTCTAGAAAACATAGTGTGAATTAAGTTAAATCAGTTTCTAAAATGTAAATTATATTATTTTGGTAAATTTGTTTTCAAAACCACGACCTACTGATAAGCTGAAATTAAATTTTTTTTAAATGCCCATAATCATTTAATTTAATTCAAATGCTGCTTAAAACAAATAACTAGGCTGTTCTATCATCCTGTATCTCTTGCTAGTTTTTAAGCTCACATTTGTTTAATTAAAACACATCGAATAATATTTCGGAATATGGAATTGATATAATTAAATTTAGCATAACAGGTTATTGTTAAAGTTGATATCTAGAGACAGCTGGATAGCAATTCTATTGCTGCTGCGTGGAATTGCCGTTGTACGTGGCCTTGTCCTTGTCCTTTTCATCCTTCTTGGTATCGTGGAGTCGTCGAATGTTGGCATCCCCGTACCGCGGCGGCTGATAGCCACCAGGTCGCTGTTGGAACTGCTGAGACTGCGAGCCGGAAGCCTGGCTGGTGTTATGAGCCGGCGGAGTGCTTCCCGGACCCGGTTGATTTTGCGGCGTGTATCTGTCCTCTGCTCCGCTGCCAGGAGTCGCCGTGGCCCTTGGTGCTTGTGATGTGGAGGGTTCGTCGTAGTCATAGCCTGGTGCTGGTGTCGGTCGCAGGGAAAACTGATCCATGTTGCGACGAGTGGCACTAGATTATCAAGAGAGTTATTAGTTACCTACGATAGGAAGATCTTGTAATAAAAGTTAAACTCACGCATCGCCTGGGTTGGCAGCCACGTCGACCTGTCCTCCTGGCCACCGGATGTTGGCCATCAGAAGGGACAACCTTTGGGTGAGCGGGCGCAGACCCATCTTGTTGATGTATTCAAAAGCCTTGGCCGCCGGCGTGAGCATGGCCCAGACGACCGTGGCCAGCATGGTCATCAGGGAGCCACCGCTGCGCACCACGCGATTCACTTGCTCCTTGGTCAGCACCAGCACGACGGCATTGGGCACCAGCTTCAGTTCGGTCAGGGTCTTCACCTCGTCCTCCGTCTGGAACTCCCGCCGTGGATAACTGGTGGCCAGTGTGAAGTCTCGCACATCGCTGGCCGCCAGCAGCTCATTCCGCACGTAGACGCGCACGGTGGCCAGCGACTCGCCGGCAGGAAAGGTTTTTGTGCGCTGCAGGCCACCGGGCAGGCGGATCTGCAGCCTCGTCTCGTCCACCGAACTCACCGAAGACTCGGTTGTGCTCGCACTGGAGACGCCGGTGGCCGCCACTGAGTTTGTCGTGCTGTTTAGGTCAGCGGATACTTGATTTCGATGCGCCTGCTCTGCCCGATCGGCGGCAATCTGGGCACGGATGCGCTCCCTAGTCTGCTGCTCCTCCTGACGCTCCCGACGTATTTGTTCCTAGAAGCGTAAAGAAGGGAAATATTTTAGAAAATAAATAAATTATCACAATTATAAGTTGTTGTTTGTTGTCACTTTCATTAGTATGCAATTTATAAAAATATATGTTCAGTGTGCAAAAGAAATTTAAGTACATAAATTTCTTATAAAATATTTGCAAACTTGTTTTTCCCACTGTATATGATTCTTTAGAAATATTACTAACTTAATACACTTTTCATGCGATAAACAGAAATAAAAAGATAAATGAAACGGCTGAAAATTGACAGATTAAATTCTTCTTATTTAATTTTTAAAGATTTTATAGATTAATACATTATTAAAAACGTTAGTATCGATTTTATCAATATTAAAGATTTACGAATAAAGACTTTTCATTTTGGTTATAGTTTAAATTATTTTGTTTTTAGATTTCAAAATTAAAAAGTTTAATACCAATAACGACTGTGTTTAAATAGCTATATTCGAATTGAAATCGTTTGAAAAAACGCTACCTATTCCCATTCCGTTTTAAATCCCTACTTATGGTATAATAATTTAATAATATATAATTTTAAATTAAGTGTGCTCTTTGGTATTCACCTGCATGTTCTTAATCTCCTGTTCCTTGGTTCTGGCCTGTTGGGTCTGCGATTCGCGTCCCTCCCGGCGGCGCCTTAGCTCCGTCTCCTTCTCGCGACGCTTCTCCTCCTCCACGCGCTCCCTTCGCTTCTCCTCCAAAAGATTCCGGACTTCCGCCAGCCTTTCCTCGGATTCGGTGATCGATTCAGCCGGTTGCTGCGCCAAAAGTGGGACAGCAGGTGTGAGTAGTGGCACAGCTGGCATGAGATTAGATGTCGCCAGGTTGCGGGCCAGGGCTCCGGATGTGGATGTGGATGCCGAACCCTCCACTTTGCTGGCGGCTGCTCTCCTTTCGGCTGCCAAAGCGGCGGGAGAAACCGAGCTGCTCTCCGCCTCTGAACCGGATTTTCCGTCCAGGCTAGAGTTTGATACGGCAGCAGGAATCGAGACAAAACTTGCTTGTGCCGCAGAATGGGAAGGATTCGACTTGGGTTTATCCACTTCTGCAGTAGGTGCATTTGAAACTGATGTGGCCTCGGGATCTTCCGTTTTCTCTGCAGCTGAAATATTGTGAAATCAGTTAAAAATGGTGTTCGTAAATCTAGGATTTGAACTGGTCAGAAAAATAAAACTAACAACAGTTAAGGGTAAAATTAGGTTCAATATTCTACAAAAAGGTATGTTTAAGAATTTGAAAATTACTTTATTGCGGATATTAACCAAATATTATTTGTATTGTTTTTTAAAAGTTTAAAACCTGGATCATATATGGTAATAGATGTGTTTCAATTTGGAGCATATATTTCACTGTAAGTTGTTTTAATAAACTATGAAACTGTTGCTCTCGATTTTAAGATCCAATAACAATTGGTTTAAGTACATAGTGTATTCAAATTGGTTAAATAAATAATGTAAATAAATTAAATCAGTTATCATTGGTTAACTTAAATGATTCTTTTAACCTTTTAGTTTATAAAAATAGTTACTTTAATTCAGTTCTTGTATTAATACCTATAGTTATAGTCAATTATGCTAACATTAACTTTGACCTTTGACTACCTTCTTGATTTGATTGGTTTTCCTCGTTGCTCGTATTTGTCGAGTCATCTGCTCCGGCAAAGCTCCTCACCGCATTTGACTCCTGTTCCTCCACAAACGAGGAGGTGCTGCTGGTGGCCACCTCTGACTCTGGCGATCGTTTTCCCGCCAGGACCAGGACCCTATCGATCTTGGCGGCCAGTTCCTCGGCACTTTCCGTCATCCCAGTGGCTATTTCCAGGGGAGTGCCCGCTTTGCCAATAAAAAAGATCGAGGGAATGGGCACGACTTTGTCTGGAAAACCAAATGAAAACCTTTAGATAGCTGATAATGGTATGATCAATAAGTTACTCACATAGCGACAAGAACTGTCCATAGGCTCCGCTAACTCCCTGGATTTTAATGGCCACAAAATTGGAGGTTTCCAGGCGCGATCGCACTTGGCTGTCGTCCACGAACCGTTCCAGCTTTCTGGACATCTCGTCCTGGCCTAAAAATCCGGTGAAATTTCGCAAGAATGACGTGGTGAAAATTGATTTTATACACGAAGGGGTTACACCAATTACCCTCGATGAAGACCACAAAGACGGCGTCCTTGACCTTCGATGCCGCCACGGCCTCCACAATGTTGCCCGTGTACCAGTTCATGCTGAGGATCGGGATGACTTTTCACCTGGATACGGAGAAATTTTGCCTGTTTTTGTTATTCCAGAAATTTTTTCTGCTGACAGCTGACTCTCGACTGTATCGATTACATCCAAATATCGATAGGTTTTACTAAAAACTTTTTTTTACAAAAATGTCAAATAACTTTAATGGAGAAATTATCTTTTTTTATTTATTTTGGAATTGTAGATATTATTTTTTTGTAACTTACCTTATAGATTTTGATAATATTGTGTTAGCCGGTATTCGATTTAATCATTCGATAACTAACTTACTATTAACCGCCTATTCTCAAATTCAAATGTTAACTATAAAATTTCCTGCCGAATATCAATTATAAAAAATCTCGTGCTTAATATAAAACAAGATTTTAAGGTTCCCATCTGGTTTATATCAATACTTTAGAATTGATAGCGAATACCCCCAAAAATAAATATAGATGGCTTAGCACTTAAATAACACAATTACATTTTTTTTTATTTTATAATTAACAAATTTAATTCATATTACAAAATGGACTAAAATGTATTTCCCAATTTATACTTTTACGGATTCCGTCAGTTTTGTAACAGAACATTTGAACATCTTAAGCTAGGTTTTGAGTTAAATAAAACAAATTAATTAATTTGTATTGGGCGTATATATTTTAATGAAATCGATGTTGATTAAAAAACCGTTTAAGGTTGTGGGTGCAAATCTTATATATTCAGTAAAAGATACGCCATTCATGTCAATCCTTTTTTGGATTATACTTTATATAAGAAATAGGAGTCCTAAGGTTTTTGTCGAACTATGATTACTGGATGATGAGTTAACTTATTGTTAACCAGATGCGAACAGTGGAGTTAATAGTATAATTAAGGTATGTGGTGGTTCCGGGTGAAGATTTAGACACCCGGACAGTCGGGTTTGTCTATAGTTCTTAGCTCCTATTCACTGGAACTACCTGTAATGAAATGGAAGGTTAGAAAGTGTCTGCTTAAAATTGGAGAAGGATCTTCGGGGGGTTTCCACAAGAGACCATGTCTTACCCTCGTCAATATCAGAATTCATTATGGAACTGGCCGGGGTGACGGATATCTCGCTGCGCTCCACGTCAGGAAGGCGGGCCACTCGTACAATGCATCTTTTTGGCTTTGGTTTCAACGGAAATGGACGAGATGCCGGGGTGCTCGACGATTTAATTCGCTCAAGGTTCACACGACACTTGCGAACCTTGTACTCCACCTCCCGCTCAACGCTTCTCTCGCCCTGCACACTGAAGTACGGGTGACGTGGGATCTTGACCACCATTTTCTTTGTCTTTGGCGACATGGCTTAGTCGGGGAAAACGGAAAACTCTCTATCAAAGTCGCAAAAAGAAATGCAGCTCTTTTCGTGGCTGCAGCGACGCCAAATTGACAGTGTTGAAAAGCGTAGCTGGCAATATGGAACTATCGATAGTGGCACTATTCCAGCTATTTTCTAGCTGAAAATCTTTATTGAAAATTATTCAAAATATAAATAATCCTATTATTCTTGTTGATGTTCTGAATGTTAAATCAATATCTTAAAAAAGTTAATCTATAAGATGGGTTAATAAACAAATTTTAATCGAACAAGATTATTATAAATATAATAACAGATATTCTTTTTTTCTTAGCTATTTAAAGCAACTATTTTCAAGTTCCGATTGATCCTAGTCAACTATCGATATCTTGCGGCGACCTTTTTTCTATCCACTTTCCGCATTTTGCAGCACTGCGTCTCGCTTTGTTTTTGTGTGTCATTGTACATTTTCATAAATTAAATACCCGAAACTATACCAAAATATTGTTGAAATACGTTAAACAAACAGCATGAGTGAAGTACAGACCCTGATGGACATGGGTTTCCCCCGGGAACGTGTGTAAGTACCGGGTACTTCCCCGATTTTCACCCGGTAAAAAGAGTTGATTTTCGCGAAAATTGACTTTGGTTTTTCCCTGAAAATTTTCCGCAGGGAATATGCTCTGCAGGTGACCAGCAACAAAGGCGTGGAGCCCGCCATGGAGTGGCTACTGGCCCACGTGGACGATCCGATACCGAGCCGTCAAAATGCCGGCGATTCTGGGGTTCCCCCAACCAATGCAGAGGACTCCTCCGCCGGAGCGGCTTCCAGTAGCACCAGTGGTGGTGGGGCAGGCGAAACCTCCACCGATTCCCCGGTGGCCAAGTCCCTGAAATGCGACGATTGCGGCAAGGTTCTGAAGGATCACACGGAAGTGGAGTATCATGCTGCCAAAACCGGACACAGCAACTTCTCCGAGTCCACGGAGGAGAAGAAGGCCCTCACCGAGGAGGAGAAGAAGGCTCAACTGGCTCTCATCGAGGAGAAGCTCAAGCAGAAACGCATCGAACGCGAGGAGCGCGAAAAAACCGAGGCCCTGCAGCGGGAAAAGAATCGCATCAAATCCGGCAAGGACATGACCGAGGCCAAGCGTCGCATGGAGGAGCTCGAAATGAAGAAGATCGTGGAGCAGCGCAAGCGCGAAAAGGACGAGGAGAAGGCGGCCCGTGATCGGGTGAGGGCGCAAATCGAGGCTGACAAGGCGGCACGCAAGGCTAGGTGAGCATAACTTCAGTGGGGATATACAAATAAAACCTATCTATTCTTATATTTATTTAAATTTAATTACCCTTTCATCTTAACCTACAGAGAACAAAAGGAATTGGGCAAAACGGAGCCATCTCCCTCCGTAAGCTCCACCACGGTCTCGGCGCCGCCGGCAGCTGTGAAATCTCCGCCTCGTGACTACACCGAAACCCGCATCCAGGTGCGCCTGCAGGATGGCTCCACGCTCCAGGAGACCTTCAATGTCAAGGAGCAGCTGTCCGCCGTGCGTGTGTTCATTCAAATGAAAACCGGAATCGAGTCGCCCTTTTCGCTGATGACCACCTTTCCGCGCAAACTATTCGCCGAGGACGATTACGAGAAGCCGCTGGAGGTGCTCGGCTTGGTTCCATCCGCCGTCATTACCATGACCAAGACGACCGCATAAATCTGTCCTCGAACTGGGAAATGGGAAAAGCAGGGAAACTCTCTCCCACAACTAAACGAAATGTCTAGAAAGTAAAAAAAACGAAACGCGGCGCGTTAGTCCCCAGAAAACATTAAATGTACGGTTTTATATATGTATTAAACAAGAAAATCTAAACTGTGGAGAGTTTACAGAGATGTGGATATTTTGTGAATGAAATTCTATTCAAGAATAATCTTCATATACACCTCGATAGACGAGTGTGAATTTGGAATATTTTAATTCAAGGAGGCAACCGAAAAAGTAGATATTTGTAGAGCTATAAAAATTATACACACTACATAATACGAATACTTTCAAAAGGCTTTTAAATAAACGGATTTACATAAAGGTACCATATACGAGTCGTTAAGGCCGACGAATTGGATTAAATTATGGAACTAAAATTCTGATTAACAGGTAAGGTATATTAAAATGCTATACTTAAAATAATTTATGAAAAAATTATGTTTTTTTTTTTCCAAAAGATACATGTTCTATTTGTTTATTATAAAAGTAAACATAGGATTCCATTTCTTAGGCTAAAACGAGAAAGGAAAGCCCCTACATAAAGGGTTCCACAAAGTTCTTGATCTTCTTGACGCTTCGCTCGGCAGGTCGAATGTTCAGATGCTGACCGAAGATGGTAAACTCCATGTTGCCCACTTTTAAGCCGAAGACGCACTCGCTCTTGGGGATTGTCCGCAGTCGATGATCCGTACCGAGGAGTTTCAGCACGTTCTTGGTGTCCATGACACAGATCCCCGATAGATTCTCCAAGGTGCGGCATTTGGATTGGATCACTTTTAGTTTCGCGCCGTGCAGATCCAGTTTCACCAACTGCCTGCTGAATTCATCGTAGCGAGGATCGTGGACTTGTGGCACCTCGGATCCTTCCCTTAGTTCCAAGTGCTCCCGAACATATCCCTTCCAGAGATTATGGAGTGGCAGTGCCTCCTCGTATTTCATCTGCTTGGTCGGAAGTGTGTTTAGTCCAAGTTTTGCGTATTCCCTGCGACTCAAGACTCCGGATTTGTGTGCCCGGCGCTTGCGGGAATGCTGCTTTTTAATCTTTGTGCCCTCCAGCATGGTGATATGGTCCGGATTGATGCTCACGTTGCAGCGATGGTGCGGAATCACCAGGTCCGTTATAAACTCCCTTAGATCATTCGTCGCGTGGTCCATGTCATTTCCAGAATCAAAACAAACCAAAATATCTAATAGAGATGGAACAAAGCTTGAGTAGTATCATCCATCGGGAATCGAAAATCGATACTTTTTTAGTATTTAAGTCCAGTACTCAAAAAAAATGGCCTGTAATAATGAAGTGTACATTTACCCGATCCATTTTGACGCCCCTTTTATTAAGAGTACTAAATGTAATAATAATGCTTTAATAACAGAGCTTGCCTGAAAAATTTAAATTGCTTTCTGCTTGTCAACAAGCCCAGCTGATTCACAGTAAAACCATAGTACATCAAGTTGCGATGAATTCTCAAAACTTTGGTCACACTAGAAATAATAGAGTTTTTCCGCCAGCGAAAAGTTTTTCGATCTGAGTACTGAGCTTAAATAACTGAAATAATTTAAAAGAATGTTTTATTTTAGCTCTCTCCTCTTAATAAATCTTTTTGAAAATGGATTTACGATTAAAATTTTGGTGTGTATGTCGAATTATAAGTACTCTTGTAAATTATTGTTAAATTTTGGGCATTATTATTTTTATTAGAGAGTGTGCAATAATTCTAGTGGAATCGTTAACAGTGTGCACGAGCTGATATTTTTCGGTATTTTCGTTAGAGATAACATTCTGTTGTTTTTAACTTTTCTGTTAGGAAATCCAAGTTCTAAGCCACCGAAGTTCTCAACCGCCCGACCTATCGATGCTGGAATCGATGTTTCGCCACCTCTATCTTTATCTCTACAAAACAAAAACAACATTCGACCGCAGCGGAACAACTGAAAAGCGAGCGCACGAAAACGAAATCGAGGAAACCGCCGCGTGTGATCAAAAATCGAAGTTAAACAAAGTCGGAGGGAAGCTGCGAGGTAATTGAACCGCCCCGCCCTCGAGCCACGCCCCGCAGCCGTGTGATAACAAAGATATTGCAATAAAGGCAATTAAAGCTGCGAGAGAGCCAAGAAACGTGACCCAGGCAAATTTGTTTGTTTGTCTGCTTCTGCTTGCATATACATATTAACGAAATATAAACGTGCGTGAGATTGTGTGTGTGTGTGAGCAGCCGTCGCGGTAGTAGTAGTAACACAGCAAACAACAACAAATTCGTCTCGCGTTATTTACAATAATTTAAACAAAAAATTACAAAATTGTATTTCATCTCTCTTTCTCTCTCACACACACGCACGAATATTACCCCCGGCGCGTTTTTCGTCTGTCTCTCTCTGACAAAGGCGGAAGAGTTAAAAAATAGTAATTAAATAAAAAAAAAGGAAAAACTGCCACCGTCGCGTCGCTGCTCAATAATTTGTGCATCTTTTAAGGTAAATCAAAGGGAAATCCCATTCAAACATTGTTTAAATAGTCCGGAAAAGCTATGCCCTGGGAAATATTACTTGTCCCCGGGCAAATTTCTTTTGTCCCGTTTTGATTCGCTTTCAGAGCGTTTTTTTTTTATTTGTTTGTTTGCTTTTGGCTAGCGAGCTGCGCTCTCATCATTGTTTGGCCTTAAAAATGTTTAAATTGCATGAAAAGCCTAGTTTTATGTGATTTTAGTGCGTTTTTTTTGTGTTTTTTTGAGCGGCTTTTTGCGCAGGCAGCGCAGTCGAAAAATCACTCGGAATCGCACTCACATGCGCACACACAGTTACAGAACCCACGCACACACAAACAGCTGTGGTACACGGACGCGCCCCGGTCGCGACAGCCAGCTAACGGCACTTTTCCATGTCCTCTCTCTCGCGCGCTCTCTCGTGTTTTTTTTTTTTGTAACCAGCTTCATTTGCCACCAAAAATTTGAAAAGCAAACAATTAAAATACAGAGAAAAGTCCGAAAAGGAAATTTAACAAATATGTTTAATTAAATGACAGTGTCCTGAAAATGGTTAATATAAATAGAAAATGTATTTGAATTTTTTGAATTGTCGATTGTTGTAATCAGTTATAATTTTAAAGTAGATCTTTTAAAATAAACTTTAATTTCTTAAAATATAATTAATGTCAAGTATAATATTCCAATCTTAAAAGTGTTATGAAATGCTCAAAATCATTTTTCTTATTGCTTAATAGACTTAAAAGTCGATATCATAATGTTTCCAATATTTAATGGTTCAATTTCTTAAATCAAGCCATAATTATAAATGCTTTCTACAAGTTATACTATACCACTTCTTGCAAAGTGTAATAAACTACATTCCCCTAAACAAATTTAATTCAAAGAAAATCGAAATTTGCTTGAACAGTATTTGAAGTTATCCGTCTACAAAGAAAACACCAAAGAACTAACATATATTTATTTCTCCTCTTCACTCTACAGTTCTTCACAATGTCCTCAAATCTCATTTAAATAAGTAAAAAGTGTAATAAGCGACGTGAACAGCACGCAGCGAAAAGAATAGCGCTGAATAGAAGGCACGCCAAACAGCAACAAATGGCCAACAATTGAATGGCGGCCATCAGTGGCCCCCAGCGGCGTCCATTGAGCAATCAACACCATTTCTCCCACATCAAATCAAGCACCACCACCACCGCTGCCGCCACCTCAGCCGCCACCACTACCAACACCACCACCACCACCACTGTCCCCACTTTGGGAACCAGAACAACAGTCCAAAGCCCAGTCCAAGCCACCACCAGCACCACAACAACAACAACAACAACAACAACACTGAAGAGCTCCATCGGCAACAAATACCAGAACCAGAACCAAAACCGGGTGCAGCTGCTCGAATTATTTGGCAAACTCGCCGCGTAGTCCATCAATGAGCGTTTCGATGTCACTGGTACAGGGTGGTGCTGCCGGTGGTGCGCCACAGGGCGCCAGCGCAATCTTGGCCGCAGCGGCTCCCTACTATCAGCCGCCGGCCGTTCCCCAGGATGTCCAGCCGGATCGTCCCATCGGCTATGGAGCATTCGGAGTTGTCTGGTAAGTGAGATCGACATTATTTAATCCTGATTAAATAACGGCTATGCCGTTGAATGGGTGCTGCAGAAAGCATGATTATTCTTAGGATGTTTTGGTGGGTGCTCAGGGACGACCCGCTGATCTATGGTAAATTGGATTTTACAAATATATGCATAAAGTAAAATGTCTATTGATCACAAATGATGATACTTGTTTAGAATTGAATATACCGATTTTTATTAGCATTATTAGAAATTTAGTAGCTCTTTAATGGGAAAAGCGCTTAAGTTTTTTACTACCAACTTAGAATGGAAAGGAAACTTGTATTTTACCTCTAAAAACTACTTATAATTATAACAAGATGCATAGGAACCTCTGAAACCTACAAAAACTACATAGATCAAGTTAGAAATGAATATTTATTTTCTTACTGAAATTGCAATCAGCTTAGTATCTTAAACAAAATCCTTGGGAAAGTAAAATCAATAAACTTGTAATGTAAATATAAGTGTTAAAAATACTTATTAATTTGTGTACAGCTCTTTGCAACTGTTGGATTACGTTCAGTTTTAATAATCCCTTTACATCCAATATCAGCAAAGGTGTTTTATAAATCTGTTTCGTTTGCAAGGGTATTTGCAGCATCGGTACCTTTTCATGTTCCCTTGCCGTTTTGCTATGTGCTTTTTTGTCACGGTCTCGCCGTGGGTTCAGCAACCTTCTGTTTGGGCCTTTGATTCTGTAACCCTTTTGATTGTGTGTTGCTGTTGCTTTTGCTGTTGATGTTTTGTGCAGCAGGCAACGTCAACATCCTCGTACTCATTTCGATTCAGACCCTCAGTCCCGGGCCTGAGCTGAGCTGAGCTGTCCTTCATGGTTTTGTGCCTTTGTGCATTTTTCAACGCCGTGGCCCTGGCCCCCCGAGGGTGGATTTTTCCTATAATATATTTCTTACCCTAAACGCGCTGGCTTTCCATGTTTTGGTCTTTCCATCTCTTTGGCCTTTTTCTATTTGCACATCGCTCCTCGGCCTACACTACACTCTCTGCCTTTTTTTCTATCCCCTTGACTCTTTTGATTTACATTTCTGTGCAAAATTTTACATTAATTGTTGCTTAAACGGGGTTAGCTTTAAATATTTGTTTTTTTTTTCTCTTGTTTGCTCACTGGCAAACAAAAATATCTAAATAGGATTTGCAGATATTCATTATTAATCTGATTTATAGAGTGTAAAAATTGTCTTTTCTTAGCCAATGATCTTTTTTTGTTTTTAAAACAAACCGATTTGCTTTCATTTACTTTTGAGTAATAAGCTCTAACTTTCTATTTAAGGTTTGCTTTGAGTCAAACGAAAACCTTGAACTAAATTATCCGCATTTATTATTAAACTCGACGTCCTATTCATTTATTTGTAGTGTAGCCAGAAGTTTGGCAACGCTGCATTTACAAATTTCATTCACGTGTAAAACGGCATTTCCGGCTATAATCAAAACGCAAAGTGAGGCCAGTTTATCGGGCGGGTTTTTCGAGGAGCGGTGGTGATGGGGGAGTGGCCGGGTCGTCCACAGGGAAGCCAGTGAAAAACTGGCACACAAGGGGCCGAGGGTTTAGGCACAAGGAAGTGGAAGTGGAAGTGGAAGTCCGAAGACGAGCCACAAGTGGAGGAGCCAAGAGAAGCACACAAAGCGTGGAAAGGCAAACTATGTGAAGCTAGAAGAGGCCCACCAAGAGGCTCAAGTATATCCCTCGATACCTTCCCTTTGGAGCAACTCAAGCCCCCGCCGATTCCCTTTGGCCAACTGAAAGTGGAGCCCGCAGAATGAAGTCGTTGACGTTTGGATTGGCTTTGCGGAGCAATAATCAGCAGTGGTGGGTCTAGCAGTTGATAACTTGCTAAAACATTCATTTACTGTCCAAGTTTTAAACTACTATCAAGAATTGGTTATCTGCAGTTTAAGATATTGTTTTGTGATACTTTCAAAAGAATTTCCATTGAATCTTGTTACGCTGCCTTGCCCAAACATGCCTTAAGTCATTGAAAACAAACCCATTTTAAATTAAATATTACATTTTGTTTTATGAAAAATGATTTAGTCATAAATGAGTCTGGAATATTTTTCTTTTTCGAATATGAACTAGATATTCTGCATGTAAAAGTCAAAATGTTATAGACATTAGTTTATGAAGCAAGTTATTGCCACACACTTTGGTGTACTAAAACAAAGTTCGTCCTAAGAAAGTTGAAGTTATGGAAGTTGGACCACATATTTAAAGATCCTGTCCGGCAAAGTAGGGAAGTGAATCAGAGGGGGACTCAAAGTTTGGCTGGAATGCAATCAAGCGTTAAATTCAAGTGCCAAGTGTCGAACTTGTTAGATGCAGCCGGCCAGCCTAGGCTAGGAAATGTGTTTTTTTTTTTTGTTTTTTGTTTACGGGTTCTTAGTTAAAGGTGGTGCCTGTTTTAGAGGGGCGGTCGGAAGGCCCAAAAGCAGGTGAAGCGTGGTTTACAGGTGCGGAAGGAAGTGCCCCGCGGGGTGGGGAGTCGAGAAAACGCAATAAGGCAACGCAAGTCGTTAAGTAGTTCTTGTTTTGGGTGAACTTCGGCAACATGGCTTAGTAAAAATAGAAACTTTAACGAAATCCGCTTATAAAAGTTGTATGCAACATTATTTGGGCATGTTTCTTAAAGAAATTTTTGATTAGTAAAGTGTGACATCACTTAAGGCATGTAATTGAAAGCGAACTGAATATTTAATTAAATATATCCAAAATTGTACAACTAAAAATATGAAATATAAATTTGTGAATAATCAGCAACTTCGCTTTTCCCGCAATTACCTTATAACCTCTTTGAATTTTACTGCCTCTCCCTCTCGACCACAAAGACTTGGAATGGTTCTAATAAAATTCGAAATCGATGCTTAGTGTTAGATTACTCAATTTATAATTTGTTTCCCAGAAATGGCACTCTTGAGAAGAAAAAAACGACGCAAACGAAACAAGAACAACAAACATTTAACCAATTAATCCTAGGCAAAGTTCTACGAAATTTTCCCAATGCAACCGACTCGAAAGAGTCAAGAAACAGCCAAACAGAGAACTATATATATATATATATATATATATATGGGTATGGGTATATATTTGTATCCGAATCGTAGGTATGTATGTACGGATGGACGGGACTGACGGCGGACGACTTAGGTTGCGCAGCAGTCGCATAAGAAATATGCTATAAGGTATCCCAAAAGACGAGCGAATGAGCGAAGATCTTTGGGCTTTACTTTAAACTACCTGCAACTGGTTTTGGGAGGTGCGCAGGCAGACGACGACGACGGACTGGACAATTCGACGTCGAAGGTAGGAAAAAGACAGTGTAAACCTTTTGCCTGCATCGACGAAACCCGCTTCCTGCACGAATTGTGGCCGGTGGACTTTTCAGCTCTGTTCAACTCAGCTCGACTCGGACCTGGACCTCAACCTGGCATCCCAGTGTCTTGGCCCGGTCAGCCTCTTGGCAAGGTGTCTTTGGTCTAGGCTCACTCAGTCACTAACTCACCAACTGACTTGGCTTAGCCAGTTCCTGTTATTTTTAGGCTCTGAGCCCGGCTTTGGCTTTGTTTTGGCCAGTTGCCCGTTCTCTGTTCCCAGTACGCCGGCAACCGACCGATTTGGGCAAGAACAATTTAGAACCTTTTAATGGCCTTTATGTTTTTATTGCTGTATTGGGTACATTGTGGTTTCCTACGACTATTAAGTTAATGAAACTATGGAAACAACTTGTGTCACAATATTAATAAATACAATTTATTTGTTATGGTTTGTGATTGTAAAAATAATGGAAATTAAAATTTAACGATTAATTTGAATTTTAATGCTTCCCAATAGATCTTTTGGTGTAACCTTAGTTTAAGACTCTAAGATTATAACTTTTGAAAACTTAATATTTAATATGGATGTTATAACTCCCAATAAATCATTTCATGTAACCTTTAGAGTTGACATTTCGATTATAACTCTTCAAATAAAACTGAGTAATCAAATGTCTTACAAGATTCAAATGTTTGGTTTGACATTTATTTTAATAAATTTGTCAGACTCTAAGAATGAAGTAGAAACTACAAAGGGGTTCTGGGGTCCTCCGGAATATTTGCTTTTCAAAAATATGCATTGAACACCTTTGGTTTATGAACATGAACCTTTTCTCATTGGCACCATGCTAAGCTTCATTTAAATCTCATTTAATTTTTATAAAAAGCTTTACTCTACATTTAAGATCTAACGCCTATTCAAGGGTATTTTAAGACTCGATTTCTCGAAGTCAGACTGTTTTATTTCTAATTCTCCCCATCTGATTTTTATCGGGTCACAAATCCTGTGCTAATCTCAGCCGGGCAGTTCAGTTGCCGCATGGCATTCGTACCTTTGCCTTTGGGCCGCGTCCAACCACCGAAAAATATGTGTGTGTGCGAAAGGCCAAAAACGAATGCAGTGCACATGCATAGTTTTATTTACGATACTCCACTCTTTCCTGTTCACGAAACCAACAGTAGTATATGCCATCCACTTTTTTGAACAGCTGCTGCTCTCGGCTGATTTTGATGCTGATTTTGATGCTGATGCTGATGCTGCCGTTGTGCCCCTTCCAAAATCCCTATCCTGTTTTTGGTCTTTTTCATGCGGTGGTTGGTTGGTTGGTTGAACAACCTTCGCCCGTTTTTCAGTTATTTTGTCTGGCAAACTCACACATGTGCACCCAGCCAGACGTTTACAGGATATGGTTGTGTCGTGAGGTCCCGCATATTGTATGTTTTTTTCCACTCTCGTTTCGTTTCGTTTCGCTTCCCTGCGAGTGCAACATCCCGAATAGAACCGAAACTCAGCCATCATCAACCCTCTTAATTTTTTTCCGTCTGTTGCAACGACAAAGTTTTCCCGAAAACATTTTCAATTCCACGTTTTCCGTTAGGGGAACACTTTTCACGTCTGCCCGTGTGTGTGTGTGTGTGTGTGTGTACACG